TATATATATATCTAGCCTGTCTCCCAGAAAGAAGCGCAACGAAAAATTGCGCAACGAAAAAATGTGCACACAAAAATGCGCTTCGGGAAATTGAGCAAAAAGAAAAATGCGCAAAAAAGAAATAAGCGCACACTACCAAATGCGCAACTAGAAAATTGAGTACATAGAAATATGAGAAAACAAAAAAATGCGCAAACACAAATTTAAATATCCACACACAGAAAAATGTCGTTAGCGGAAGCTTTGGTCGATTATGAAATTGTTTACTTATTTTAATGACAAAAGCTTTTATTAAAGAAAGCATATTAGTATTATTTTCTTATTTTTAAGTGCATTTAAAAGCGTGTTGCTATAAAGGATTTGTAGATTTATTTTCTTAAATTATTTTCTTAAACAATCTGTTTCAGCATAGATGTCGTTGATAAAGGTAGGGGTATGAATAGATTGCGGGGGGGGGGGGGGGGTGCGTGTAGAACTTTAGAGTCAAATTATGTGCGTCACACGTTTGAATTTCAAAATATGCTGTATTTTATGAGTGTTTGTAGTTCAGTGTGTGTTGAAAAGCATATATTGCTTGAAAGCAGATTCTCAACCCACTCACCTCTCTTGAACCACACACCATTTTCAATCCACACATTACACTCAAACCACATACCACATACCACCCGCAACCCACACACCACCCTCAAACCACACACCAACCTCCTACACCTCAAACCATAAACCAACCTCAAACCAAACACTACCCATCTACCCACACACCACCCTCAACCCACACACCACCCTCAACCCACACACCACCTCAACCCACACACCACCCTCAACCCACACACTCCCTCAACCTACTCTACTGTAAAAATGTGTGTATCAATTAATGAGAAATGTGCTGTATTTTATGAATATTTGTAGTTCAGTGTGTGTTGAAAAGCATAATTATATTGCTTGAAAACAGATTCTCAACCCACTCACCTCTCTTGAACAACACACCACTTTCAACATACACACCTCACTCAAACCACACACCAACCTCATCAACCTCAAGCCATAAACTGCCCTCAAACCATAAACCCCCCTCAAGTTGTGATGTAGGAATCTGACGTTGGTTAGCGATAGACAGGGTTCTTCAGATTATGCGTGCTATAATGTACCTATAAAAGATATAAATACTCCTATTTAAGTAACAGTCGTCCAGGGCAAGAATAATGTTTTAACAGGCAACCACTCTGAACTTTAATTCACGACTGTTTGATTGTATTTTTGATGATGTTGTAATGTCCGTCCAAATATAGTTTTTTGCCTTCAGCTGTAGATAGACCAAATCGATATTAGAATGTCATTTCGGTTGGCTAACTTAGGCTTAAAAGGTGAGTTATTTCAGACTTAAATTCTTCAAGTAGACATGTGTATTTGAATTTAAATGGTTTTTACTTAATGGCAGTGTTTAAATTCAAATCGATGGTCATTGAACACACGTCTAAATACTTACACAGAATGTACTTACAATTACATCGTGGTTTGTTATACACCTGTTATGAAGACTTTTATAAATTAAGTACAAACTTACTTAATGGTAAGACAATAATTCTAAGCGTAAATGGGACTGAGGTTGTTGTATGTGATCATATATTTGAGCAATCTCTTTGAGACGAGGTATGCTAAACTTCAGAGGAACAATCTACACTGGACCTAAACTAATACTCAGTTAAAATCGAAAGATGTTTACACACAGTATAAAACATATATTTACATTTACTTAAACAAACAAATTTTGTTTACTTTAATACATGAAAAGCTAATGTTTACATTTCCAATAGTGTACAACAGTAGAGCTCATACAGACAACAACACGTGCACCTTAAGGTCAACAGCGACAGCAGGACAGCATTATGGTAAACAGCGACAGCAGGACAGTATTATGGTAAACAGCGACAAGACAGCATCTTGACAAACAACAAACTAAAACATAGACCAGAGGCGTAGCAAGGGCGGGGTGGGGTCTGGACCGCACTCTGGTGGCACCATTTAGGGGGGGGGGGGATGACACCAAAGCAAAAAAAAGGCAAAATGTACATATAAGGAAAATTCTTTTTCGCCAGTTCCATTAATGATTAATTAAAGTAAAATGGTCTTTTAAGTACGAATCGACTATTATTACAAGGGGTAGGGGTGACACTATTACGTAAATGCTACATCCAACTGTATTATTAACAGACTAAAGATAAACATTGTTAAGAGCCTATACATACATTATATATATATATATATATATATATATATATATATATATATATATATATATATATATATATACTTTTGTGACTTGGGGGTAGGGGTGACACTACAAAGTGCCGCACCGGGTTACACCCGACCTAGCGACGCCACTGAAATAGTCAACTCAAGCTAGATATGAAATAGATGTATCACCAGTTAGCATTACATGGTGAAATTATTAGCATTAAAATTGTGTGATACATCATCATTAAAAAAAAAGTATTCGAATCGCGGGTTTTTTTTTAAACTGCTAGAACATCGTTGCTTTCGCTGGTGTTACGTTTAAAGCTATGCAAAAATAAATTGTATTATTGAATACAAATAAAGCGAACATCACTACCATCGGCATTTAATTTCTCTTGTTCGATGTGGTTATAATGTTGTTTTTTTTTTTGGCTTTTTTGCATTTCAGTAACTATACTATTATTGTAAGATTCAAACCGTAAGTTAACACAGTGCAATAGAAAACAACTAAAACTTAACCAATCTGAAACAGATTTTGAATTAAACGTATTTGTTTTTTCTTACTTAAGAAAACAATAAATAAATACTCTAACTGGAAAACAAAAGCAAATACTTAAACTGTAAACTTTATTGTGTCTGTCTTCATGTGTAAACTAGATTGGCATCTTCAAAGTTAAATTTATTATAACTCAGGCACCGGAAAATTTAAAAAGAAACCAAATCAATGGTTGCCGTTTAGTTTATTTTAGAATCTCCGCGTTACTTAGAAGGTCAAGTTTATTTACCGACACGAACGTACAAGAAGGAACCGGATGCAGACGAAATAGTTTTGATAAAATATCTACGGGGTCTAAGAATGCGTAAAACGGTCCAGACAATTAAAGCTTGTTGGGTAGATAGGCAAGTAAAAGATTCATCTCCTGCATTGAAAGACAGGAGATTGTGGGTTAAAAAAAAAAACAGCTTTAAATATAAACAGTATGTGTAAACCATCTTCAATTACACACACACACACATAAATGCAGTGGCGTAGCGAGGTCGGGTGTCACCCGGTGCGTCACCCAATGGTGTCCCCCCCCAGAGGCGTAGCGACCCTTCCCGGGGACAAACTTTCAACTTTTCGATTTGCACCCCCCCCCCCCTCTCAACCTTTCGATTTGCACCCCACCCCACCCCACCCCCCCCCCCCCCACCCTCAAACTTTCGATTTGCAACCCCCCCCTCAAGTTTTTCTCTATATATTTTGCTATTATTTGCCTTGGTGTCACCCCCCTAAATGGTGTCACCCGGTGCGGTTCGCACCCCCCGCCCCCCCCCCCCCCCGCTACGCCTCTGCATAAATGTTGAAACAGAATGTGTAACCTATCTTAAATTACACATAAATAAATGTTTTGATTATATAATAAACAAAATTTAAAATAAATAAATCCTTAATGCAATAAAAACTGAAACAAGATTATTGTGATTCTATGTGACTATATTTTGTGAAATTCTATCAAATGGTAATAGGAAAGTTGAGATGAGACGCTGTCAGTTGCACATCAATATTATAAAAATTGTTTGATAATACTAAAAAACAAGTAATTAAAAAAAGTCTAGTGACAATTTTAGCGCAATTTCCTTGTGTTATCTAAAAATAGCTCTGTCGTAGCGTAAATCAAGAGCAGGGTTAGTAAAACCATTGGTTAGTTATTAAAACGTTTTTTATTAATTTTTTTCAGTATTTTACATGTTTTATTTACAATAGAGTAACATGACTAAAAACTATTGCGCGCCCAGCTACCGAACGTGACGTCGCAGCCATTGAACGTGATGGCGCAGCTATTGAACGTGATGACGCGTGTGGTGTGGTTGCATAAAATGCCTACTAATTCGGTCCAAATTTTAATTAATTCAAAAAAAATTTTGTGACCGAACGAAAGGATATTTTTGAAAACTTTCTTCGGCAATATTGTTCTAAATTATGGCAGGAATCGATTGGTACATGTTTCAAGTCGCTAAGTGGTCTGGTTGCCGAGATATGGGCCAAAAACTGCTTTTTTCGAGGTTTTTTGGCTTTTCCGGGAAATCCATGAAAGAAACCCGGAATTTTTATGGCCTATGTTCATTCTCGTAACTTGCTTAACATAATTGCTTTTGGAACTAGTCATCGATATTGCTTCGTTGAGGAGGAGATACGACTTAAAGCCCGGACACACATTCATCCATACATTCATTCATTCATCCATCCATTCCCAGAAATGACGAGTTAATAAACGCAATTCTCCAGAATGGAAATTGCGCTAAAAAATTGAAGAGTGCATTTTCAGAGTTGACTAAATTGAGAAAAATAGGGATAATTCTGATTCTACTAATAACCTTCATGTTTTTATAACTTATTATAATTGACTGATCAGCTTTTTTTTTCAAGAGCAATGTCATATTCAGATGACTTTTTAAAAAAATAAAAATTTAAAGAATTGTTCTCGATATCACAGTGTTTACATTAGCACTACTTTAATCAAGAAAAAAAATACTTCTGTTTTGCATTAACAAAATTGCATCCTCTAATTTTGCCTTAAAAATGTTTGTAGTCATTCGTATTTTTTTTTTTTAAGACATGAAATCATACAGATAAAATAGCTAACTTACCGCATGATGTCCGTGATATTTAACAGAGACATTCATGATAACGCGGTAACAGAGAGTCTGTGTATGAATGCTGTTTATAACTTTCGTGTGTTCAGTCACAGTTTAGTTTCAGTGAAGTTTCGCTGTACAATTTTTCTTAGTTACCACTTAACACGGGGAGTTGCCTTTTTTTACATTTGCAATGATTGTCTGTTTTTTATTCATGCTCTGGCTAAACGACTTCTGTCTCGTTGATGGTAAGATATATAGATATTTTTAATGTGATTTCATTTTTTTTTTAAATCGCACAATGGTATCATCATCTTTTTCCGGTTGTACCCAAAACACATGGGGCAGATGAAGTAGAGTTCATCTGCTTCAACGATAACAGCATACGTTAGGGAAAGTGTTGTAAGCACTATGCCCAGCACAATGTTATAATGTCTTTAAAATACAGTTGGTCTTATCGCCGTTTAATAAAGCCAATAAAATCGTAATCAACTTCTAGAATAAAAACAGAATGTAGGGGAAAAATAATGGAAAATTATCATAACAGAGTAGGCCTATAAGCAAAAACTGTTAAAAACAAGATGGTTGCGTTCAGAGGCGTAGCGACCCTTCCCAGCACACGGGGACAAACTTTCGATTTGCACCCCCCTCGAACTTTTGATTTGCACCACCCCCTCTCAAACTTTCGATTTGCACCCCGCTCAAACTTTCGATTTGCACCCCCCCCCCCCCCCCGTCACACTTTCGATTTGCACACCCCCTCTCAAACTTTCAATTTGTGTTTCCAACCCATTTTGGCGCCCCCCCCCCTAAGGTCGGCGCCAAACATATGTCCCCCCCTCCGCCCCCCCCCCCTTCGCTACGCCACTGGCTGCGTTAAATAAATGTATGAACACCCTGACATGAGTACAGTAACTTTTAACTGGACAAAATTTCATACATAAGAATAAGGGCCTAAACGTAGCGAGTTTCTGTAAAGGTAAATGGTACATTATACTATTTCCGATTTCTCAAACTTTAAAATGTTTGATAATTACATATCATATTCTCATAAATCGACATGCTCTAAGAACCTTTTATCTCTTTGCGTTTTCACCAACATCGAGCAATTTCGTCATTAACATAAGCAAAACCGTTAAGTAGGAATATAGGAGAAAGATTATAAGGGCTCACTCCTTATTTCCCTTGAGGATTTCAAGGGACATTACCGAGCTAACGAGATTCCTTCCATCATTATTGTTACCTTGGGTGAAAACGTGTTTGTTTGTTTTTTACATTTTGTAATCAATGCAATTGTAAAAAAAAATTTTAATAGAAACTTTAACCTGAAAATAATTCAGAAATTTAATATTTTTAAAATCAATGTTATTGAAGTTGCCAACCCAGTGAACTTAAAAATATTTTTTTACTATAAGGCTGCGTGTCATTAATTAACAGTGTTTCTTTTGAACAATTTAGTGTCATTTTTTAAATATTTAAAGAGCCTCTCATTGAGAAAAAACAGTAATTCTATAGCTAAACATGATATTCAAAAAAAAATAAATAAATAAATAAAATAAAAAATAAAAAAAAAGAGCCTCTCGAATAATACCGAGACTATTCTCGGAATGATCCATTGGGCGCCTTAAGCCTTAAGGGTTTTGACTCCTTAAGCTTGTGGTAATCCCATCGCTATTTTTAAATTGATTATTTTGTATAATTGAAATAAAAAGTTGAAATCGGCGGCAAAGATCAATATTATACGTTGAATTTTTTTTTCCAAATGATGAAATATCCGTTAATTCAGCATTAATTATGATGATATTTCTCCATACCAAATTTTGAATATTCGAAAGACAAAAAAAGCAAAAAAAAAGATTTGTTTAAGATGGACGTCGTTACTATGGGAACCATACTTTCATAAGAGTCCCTTATGCATGCAAATATTTTCCCTTAAATCCCCTAACATAGACACACCCAAATAAATAAATTAGGCTTGTTAATTAACAAGTGGTTTTTTTTCATATCAGTCTTTAAATGTATAAGTTAAAGAGGAAAGTTTAAATAATTGCAGAGAAATAATATAAAACCAATAGAAAAGATTAGGTCTTTAGATTTAACATATGATTAATGATTTTTCAGGTCTAAGCATTGATATTCAGAGAGAATATTTTTACCATGGGAAAAGTTTATTTTGTGCACAACTCCAGTGTACAGAAAACATAACAGAAGACACTCAGATGTCAGCTCTTGTCAACATGTCACTCTATAGGATCAGTGAACCTGAAGGGAAGATATTGTTGGCGTCTATTTCAGGATCTGATTCAAAGGTTCGAGATCATACAACAGCAGAAACTTACGTTGATGGTAAAATATCAAAATATTACGGAGAACTGGTCTTGTTTCTACCTAAAGAATCGGACTGTCTTAAACATGTTTATGAATGTGAAGTATACTTTAACACTTCGAATGGATTTGTTTCTAGCAAAGTAAAGAGGACAACTGATGTAAATCACAAAAAGCGTGATTCAATATTAATTATGAACTTAAAGGCCAAGACAACAGATTATGTGAAGACTGTAGATAGGGTAACCAATTTTCTGAAATTGTTTGAAGATTCAGGTGAAGAGAATAGCGAGGAGCTGTCTCTGTCTTTACATAGATCGCATGCAGATAGCTTCCAGTATATCAACGACAAAACAGATTTGCCTCGATCAACAGAACTCAGCAACTCGAGTCACGTCATGAGTTATAACATTCTCAACATGTTGCATAACAGGATCAACAATCTCACTGTTGATTACAACCAAGCACTAACAAGCATGGAAAATAAACTGAGTCTAAAAATAGATGCAAACGAGGCTGCTCAAAATGGAACACAGAGATTTCTCCAGGATTCTGTTAATGCTTTAAATAAATCTATTCAGTCTATTGAGTCTAAGGAGCAAAAACAAACAGAAGAGTTTCATGAAGCGCTGAAACAACTAGAAGATAAAATCAGAGAAATGACCAAAGAAGAATTCAATAAAACCTTGCAATTGATTGGAAACTTAAACAGATCTGTAGAGGAGTTAAAAAGTGAACAACCTTTCCTCATTCACGAGTCACAGGTAATACCTTAAAAACTATGCGTGTCTGAATATTATACCGTTGTACTTAATATAAAGTTTTCTGGTATAGACAAAAAACTGATAGGAAGATATTTTTGAAAGCTATGTGTGTCTGAGTGTGAAAATACATATTATCCATGTATACTTAGTATAAAGTTTTCTGATATAGACAGTCATCACGTTAGTACTTAACAATGATAGGGAAATATTTTCTTGCCTTGCCTTCAACAAAAATATGTTTAGACCTTTTTTTGTTTGTTGAAACTAGACAAAAGTCAAACACGAAGCTAATTAAATATTTTACTATGAAAACGATCTCAAAACAGTGTGTTTAAACAAAGTTAATGTACACTACAAAATTTGAGTTTCATTATGCCTTGCTAGTTATTGTTATGTCCCTTGTATTATATACATCTTAGTTATGTCTCTTGAGTGTGTAGTTACTGTGTAGTTCCAATAGGGGCCGTGGACTAGACCAGGGGTCTCCAAACTATGGCCCGCGGGCCGGTTGAGGCCCGCGAGGTCCTCTCATCCGGCCCGCGGAGATCTTTTTGTCCATGGAAAAAAATGTTTGTTGGTGGTGGCTGAGGAGCTTTGCCCAGAAAATTAATAACAATTTTGAAAAGTAGCTTTGGGTACAACTACCGTTGCCTACCGTGTTGCAGAGATTGGTGAAAACATCGTGACTCAAATAGCGAAAAATGCAAGCAAGTTTCGCAATTTTTCAATTGCAATGGATGATTCACTGGACAGCGGTTCCACCTCTCAACTGCTTGTAATTATTAGAGGAGTGGATGAAGACATGAACATAACACAAGAGCTGGCTTTTGTGACACTGTTACCGGAGAGGATATATTCAATGAGTTAAAAAAAAACATTTGCTGATTATAACTTGGACTGGACTAATCTCAGTTACCTGACTGTTGATGGAGGGAGAACATTAGTGGCATAAAGAAAGGCTTGGTTGGACAAGCGGAGCAGATGTGTAATGAGAAAAACATTCTACAACCAATGTTCCTTCACTGTATTATTTATTTAACAGCAGGCTTTTGTGTTTCTTTCAGACTTTTTTCTCCAGGGGGAGGAGGTGGACGACGACACTTGAAATGTGTATATATTTCTATATAAATTATATTTCGTGGGGGGTAGCCATTCTTCGGGGGCGGGGGGCTCTACCACCCCGAAGAGATGCCTGGAAAAAACTCTGGCCCCCGAACTGATTTTTGATAGTTAATGCGGCCATCGGGCTGAAAAGTTTGGAGACCCCTGGACTAGACGTAGAGCAAAGCAGTCATTTCAGAAGCTGTTCTCTACGTGCTAAGTAAAGTATTGAAGTAAACCTAACGGAGCCTACTGTTGTGTTCTAATGACAACCAGTTAATTAATTTAACACACTGTGAATATTTTGTAACCATATTTTAATTAACGCTTTCAATGCTTTATTGTTTCATAACTAGTGTCGAAAGACGAACGACAGATCTATATTAACTCTGCCGGATCAGGTGAAACTAAAACTCATTGACAGCACAGTAGCCTTGTGTGACGTCACAACAGACGGAGGAGGATGGATAGTCATACAGGTGTGATTTATTTTCTTTATAAACGATTTACACTTTTAAAAAACATGGGGACTGGTGCGATAATCAATGATACCTTTAATAATTGTGATTAAGTATGTCTATGCAAATGAAAAAAATAATTAAAGAATATTCTGTAGACCTAGCGATCCATTGGGCAAATGAAGTAGAGTTCATATGTTTCTTGACGTCGGCATATGAAGGGAAGGTGTGGTCAGCACTTTGTCCAGCAGCCCTAACATGAGCTAGGTACCCATCAGAACTGGAAGGACTTAGGGACGTTCTACTAACTTGGACGCGGATTTGAACTCGAGATTTTCGGGTTAGCAACCTAGCTCACTACCGCTTAGGCCACGCCGTCCATGTCTTACAGTAGTTTTATTTCGGCACAAAAATATTGTTAGACTTTGTCCTACGTATATTGAAAATCTATAAGAAATAATAAAATACAAATAAATTTTTCTACAGTTGTCTACCATGTGGCATAATGAATGGATCAATGTATAGATTAAGATTAGCCCTTTGTTTTTGTTTTTTGTTTTTTATATTTTAGCGACGTGTTAAAGGCGATGTGAATTTTACACGAAACTGGAGCGACTACAAAAATGGTTTCGGGACATTAGATGGAGATTTCTGGCTGGGAAATGACCTGATCTCAAACCTAACATTGAGGGTAGGTTGGAATTTTTCATTTTACATTGTGTAATTGCTTTATGTCAAACTTTTTCGCTGTTTACGTCAATCACTCAAATGGATAATTCATGACGAATTAATCATGACTCATAATATTAAGATGAAATTTTAAAATTAAAATATTTTTTCTATACTGAACGCTCAACACAATTTAAAATCTTTCTATTTAGCTTTCTTAAAGAACTTAATTTATATGATGTGACAAAAATATTACAGTTATATTACCATATCGAGAAAGTTTCTATTTAGAATCTGGGTTAAAGGTCAGTAGCATACCCAGATCTTATGGGTATCTAACTCACGTTAGGGATAGTAAGGCGGCCGGTCGTAGTTCTGACCACACTATTCCTCTATATGTCGAGGTCACCGTAGACAGTCAGGCTCGAATAGGGAACATGTTTTACAATATAAAGCTACAGAAATATATGCAACCAATTAACTTATTCGAGAGATGTTTAATCTTTAATATTTAAGTTATGTTCAAGCTTCTTTATATATTTTCTGATTTCTTTCTTTCTTTCTTTTTTCCTTTTTTTTTTTTTGTTCTATACAAATTTTAAACCTTTTTGTGTTTTGAGTTGACCGGACTTAAAAAAATTGAATTATTTCAGGTAATTTATTTTTTTAAATGGCCGTGTATTGAAGTTAAAAATATTCTATAGCAAACATTGTGAACATCTGTTTATAGATACGTGCTTAACAGTCGCATATGAAAATACAGTGCTAGATAACAAAAACAATACGCTGTCTAGTACAGCATCTATTTGAAAACACATCATCAATATAAATCACACGTTAATAATAGTTTTGCGTAAAACTTTTATACCGACTTAGAACTTGCAAAATCTTTCTTTCAGTTTTAAAGATTTAAATTTTTTTATTTTTTTTTTATTCTTTTATTTTATTAATTTTTAAAGATTAGTTTTAATATATTTTAAAATACTTTTAAAAAGTTTTTCCCGTTTTTTTTTTTGTTCGTTTAGAAGCTTTTAGTAATAAACGGAAGCTACATCAGTATATTAGACATATACAACATATCGTATCTTATATATATAAAACTATATACAACAAATAGTTTGTTATAACTGTATCACTGTTTCACAGGGCTGGAGGGAGCTTAGGTTTGACATGACTCACAAGGGTAAATCTTACTACGCTGTTTACAGTAACTTCACTGTGGGAAATGAAGCAGCTTTGTATAGAGTAAGCTTCAACAACAAGGGAGGTAACATTAAGGATGAATTCACTTATCACAACAACATGGCTTTCACAACTGTGGACAGGGACAACGACCTCAGGGCAGATAACTGTGCTGTAGAATACAAGGGCGGCTGGTGGTACAATAGCTGTCATTGTGTGAACATGAATGGAGTGTGGGCAAGTCAAAAGAGCAGTCAAGGAATCATCTGGGGAACTGTAACATCTTACACTGATTCTCTGGAATTTGTCGAGATGAAACTACGAAAGCAGTGATCATCCTACTCAGCACGGTGTATTTCACCAAGAAACGAAAATTATTAAACATAAACACGTTTTTAACATAAATTTAACGGAATTCCAGATTTCAAATAAAAAAAAAAGGCAATGGTTTTACTTTGTGTAATAGCATTATAAGTAGAATTAAATTATTATAAGCTATACATAGGAATCGCTCTTTACAGTGTAATATGGGGACCTGGACTTTATTTGTTTATAGATATAATTTTAAAAAAACAATTGTCGGCGTTCAGTGCAACTCTCAATTATTTTGGTTTAAAACATTATGTAAATAAAATGTGTAATTTTAATCCCAACTTCTGTACTGTTTTGCTATTATTATGCTTAATATTTTTACTTTCTCGTATATACGAAGTATAGAGAAAGTATTGTAATCGTGCAAAAAAAAATAGAGATTTTTACAAATCTCGACGTTTTACACCTCACTGATACGGAAAAACATAACTTTGCAATCTTGTCCGTATGTCTGTGTGTCTGTCTGTCTGTGTGTAAACACGATAACTTGAGTACCGTTACAGCTAGGTTGATGAAATTTCATATATAAGTATTTTATCAAAATCGTAGATCCTGATCAACTTTTGAGCGATTTCCGATAACCGGAAGTGGTACTTTTTCTACTTTGAATTTTTCAAAAGCCTATAACTTGAGTACTATTTGAGTCAGATAAATGAAATTTCCCATGTAAGTAAAAGATCTAATTCTCTACCTTCTGTCAAATTTTGAGTAATTTCCGTTGAACGGAAGTACTAATTCCGAGTTATATAAGAATATTCGAGAAAGTTTAGGTGAGATCACTCCCGGTTTATTTAAAGCATGTGTATGAGTATTATCGATACTGTCAAATTTTAAATGATTGGCCTACATGAATGTTCACATTATCATTTATTTAAAATTCATACCAAGAGATTAAAGAATTGTGTATGACATTTTGTTGTTTCCACAAGCTAGACGTTCAAGTCGAATGTCACATTAAATATTTACTCTGAACCGCTGAATCAATAGCTTGAAATGAATTGATTAAATACATGTCATTGAAGCCTCTACTAGTTAACGAATGAATCACTTTCGTTGGCTTAAAACGGAAGTTTTAAATTGAAAAGATCTTATCAGATATACGGAAAAGATTTCCTGGTTTTACTAACCTGACAAGCTATGAGATTTATTAGGCGCTTCAAGGTTAGGGGATATGCGTACTTGTAAACAAAGTATTTTCATCTTATTTTTAACAAGAAAATTATTATTATTGATTTGGAACGGGGTATGGAATCTGTAGTAGACAAAAGTAAAACGGTAACGTCTCAAGAAATGTACATTTTATAAGTGGAGAGGGACAGCGGTTTTTTCGACTTAGATTTGTAAAAATCTTGATTTCGCTTTTCAACGATTACACTACTTTGTCTATACTTCATATACGATAAATAAAATAATAGAATAAAAGCATGGTTTATTTATTTGCAGCTAGGCTAACATACTTCCTCTAGTTTTGTTAATATTAAATTTTATAACATACTAAGCAAGTAGACTCCAATCATCTTTTAAAAACATTTACAATTAAGTGAAAGTAAAATGTTTCATGTAACCACTATATAATACCGCGTTTACACTTGCGACATGTATACTAGAAAAAAAAACTTCGCTATATGGCCTAAGATAATAGTGGAGCCTACTCACTTATTGCGAAGTTGTTTTTTTTTTACATGTATAGTATACATGTCGCAAGTGTAAACGCGGTATTAGAAACGATGATGTACTGAGTACGATTCCTTTCTCGTACACAGCATTCGGTATCAATAAAGTAATAAGACAAAACTGGATATCCTAAAGGAAATGAATTTATCAAATAAACTCCATGTCCCAGAGTCAACTTTTCAAACGATAAGTTAACTCCACTTGATTTAATTTACACTACCTTTTCGGTACAAGTTTTTGTAGAGATTACTGCAAGCAGGAACCAGCCTAGTTTTCCGGGTCATGATGATAAGCGAGTACAAATAAACAACGCCGAAATGCTCCTCAGATTTTAACGCTTATTAGAGTATTAAAGTAGCTTATTAGAACATATATAATACGCTTATTATCGAAGATGTCCGGTCAATAAAAACACACAACCCCCCCCCCCCTGAAACAACCCCCTCCCCCTGGACAAACCCCCCCCCCCCCCCCCAATGGGGGTTTATATAAGGAAAAACCAAAGACAATAACAAAAATTAATAATTAAAACAAAACAAACATTACAAAAAACACGTAGTGTTTTATTATAACTTTAAAAAGATAGATTGAGAGCGATGCCTCGCAAATACTCGATTATGGTGTGCTTTATAAAACGTTTAAAACCAGTTGAAATTCGAGCGCTGCTATCAATATTTTGTTTTCTGTTTTGGTAAACAGTGACCTGAATTAATCTGTGTACAATAAACCGATTGTTAAGTCAATGAACTTCAAACTATTTGGGTGGCAACATTCCACATTGGACTGTGCCAGCCTTCAACTGAGTTATTCGTTTTTGGCATATGGTCTTCTGCACGTGTGTGCATGTTCCACATATTAAGTGGAAACAGGTTGTCTCCGACGTCGATTTTCAAGAACGTTAGTTGCTACAAGACTGCTGTTTATGTTTCCTGTGGGTTTTTTTAAGTAAAGCATAAACACATGGAACAGTCCATCTATTGACCAATGCATGGACTGTGTACAGTTGTGAAACAATGCAGGATCTGTTTTGAATGTAACACCCATAAAGCAGTGCTGATTAACCTTCCAGTAACCTGAGGTTGTCCTTCGTTCCAAACAAAAACATACTATATTTGACTCGGCACAAAAATCGTTAGTCGGCGTGGTCGAGTCGGTAAAGCTCATGGGTGCTAAACCGAAAAGTCTCGAGTTCGAACCCTCGGGCAGATGAGGCTCGTTAGCTGGGGACAGCCACTCTTCTAAGAGACAACTCCAAAATCAAGCAACTGCTGCCTTGTAGTTTGTTCTTGGTTGGACAAAGGCTATGGAAGCAAATCCAAAAAGAAAAGCAGGCTGAAATCGGAGTCAATGGCATCAATGGCGCATAACCAGTTGACACGTAAGCCTTAATTGTGATGGAAGCATGGTCGAGTCGGCAAAAGCTCATTGTTGATAAATTCAAAAAAAGTCTCGAGTTCAAACCCTCTGGCAGATAAGGCTCGATCCCTCCTAACACTAAAAATTAAGAACGAAAAAGAAGTTAGTCTTTAAGAAGTACATTAATTTAATTCTTTTTTATTTTGGTTCTCATCATTATGTCCTTATATAAATCTCAGTCGGGGGGTATTATCCAGCGGGTTTATGTCGCGGATTTTTTCCATGGTGTTAATGTCGCTGGGGGTTTATGTCCAGGGGGTTTATATATATATATATATATATATATATATATATATATATATATATATATATATATATATATATATACATGAAAATATCTTGTTGATAATAATCCCGGAGTATCAGTCAGAAAAAATGTTTAAAATCGAGGTGACGGCGCTCAAGCGGAAGTATCTTAGTCAATTATTCATGTACAAAGTGATCAAAGGCGCTACTCAAATCAACGGGTAATTGGCACCAGATGCTTCGTCCTTCGCTTCGGTGGTCTTGTGATCCAGAGCGCCCGGTCTCACCTAAGAGCACTGGGTCGCCTACAGTCGTCTTAAAGACAATATGGTTGGCTATTAAAATATATGACTAAACCAAACCCCGGCGGAAGTGTACGTTTGGGCGTTCCCAGTTCCCCCGCAGTTGTCTTAGCACCTGGAGGAGACTTCTGAATGGACGTCCTGCTATTTGAGTACTTTTTTAATAAATGGCCTAATTTTGCCATCGGCGTGCTCCTGAGCCATAGCGGAGCGCCACAGACTCCTCTATGAACCAATGCGGCGCCTACATTACTTTTAAAGAGCGCCATACATTTGGAATACGGTGAGTTGCTACATTTTATGACTAAACTTCACCAAGGGCGTTCTCCGGTATCCCTGTGTTGATGTAATTTACGGCACTGCTTGTTCCCACCTTAGCACCTGGGATCCAATGATTGGGCGTCCTACACATGCTTTCAGGTACTAAGTTGAATCAACGTTCAAACTGCACTACAATCACAAAAAATAATTTAAAAAAAACGGGGTTATCAAAGCTGCTTTCCTTAAATATCCTTTCTTATGTTAAAATATTAGCATTTTAAAAAACTCGTAATGATATTAAATAAACCTGTTTTAAAATGTAAGAACAAGGAAATAAAATATGTAAGACGGGATTATGATAACAAATGTTAGAACCTTTGGTAATGTTGTTGAGTAGTACGATCAGAATGTAAATATGTTATGTTGCTAGATACTGCTGCTAGGAAACCGTTAAAGTATACACAGAAAATGCTATATAAAGAGCTGGCGTTAAGATTGGTTGCGGTTGGTTGTAGTTAGATTTTACTGTGACCATTGAAAAAAAGGTAAGTAGATGTGTTTCTATATTATACAAATACTGTTATATATATATATATATATATATATATATATATATATATATGTGTGTGTGTGATGTGTGTGTGTGTGTGTGTGTGTGTGTGTGTGTGTGTGTGTGCTTCCGCGAATGTGTGCGTGTAATTTCCGAGATAATGGATAATTGATACAATATTTTGCTTAAATGAGATGAAAACATTTCAGAAAAATGAAAGCAACATTTGTATACCTGGGTAAGACAATTTCTTTACTATACAATTTATATTACTTGAGTTACCTGTTGAGCCTTAGCTCGGTTACGAAAGTGAATGATCATGAACGTTCACAGTTACGCGGCGTAGTAAAGTTATGGTCATGTACAAATTAAAACTAGGTGGGTCTAATGGTGCTTGTTGAATGGGGACCTTGGTTCACATCGGTCTATAGTGTTCTCTCTTTACAATGACTATATCATGTGTCTTTTTTTAATAAAATACAACGTTAAAACAAAAATACTTTATTTCTAAAATTGATGTTATGTAATATATTTTTTAATATCTTTTCAATTTAGAATATTTAACGAGAAATCGGCACTTTATAGAAAATATTATTTTTGATTCTAAGATAGACTAAATAACAGCATAATCACATAATTATTTTTGGCTTAATAATATAAAACACGGCAATTTATCATAACAGGTGTGTAAACATACTAATCATATTTATTTACCATTTTGATTTATATATACAAGTATTAAAATACATACACAAAAACACACACACATATATGTATATATTTATATATATTTATATATATTATGTATAGTGATTTATACACTATTTTTATATCTACGTTTAATTATGAAAATTTATTTTCTATCACAGTGATGCAACTGATCTCTATCCAAGGTAAAACAAATTACCAAAGTGTAATTACGTTCCCAAATTCCAAGTCAATGCAGACTTTTTAAAATACATATTCCTTATTAAAACATTTCGTTTATTAATAACAATGTTCTTATGCCATCAGCACATTATCTAACATAAATAAATAATATGTATCCCATTTGTAATTTGCATGTATGTTATAACTATTAAAGTGAGTTTTAGTAAATATGTATTATTTCAGAGCTAAATGCTTAGTATAAATTGAACAAAAATTTGTAATTATATTTAGGTCTACATTTAAATCTTGAGAGACACACGGAGACTGAAAAGATGTGTCTTAAACTTCAATGTATGGAGAACAAAACAGATGACACGGAATTTTCAGCTCTTGTCAACATGTCAGTCTATTGGATCAGTGAATCTGATGATGAAGTGATGCTGGCGTCCATTTCAGAGTCTGACTCAAAAGTGCTAAATTATAAAATAACCGAAGCAGAAGTGACAGGAAAAATGTCCAAAGACTACGGCGAGCTAATCGTTTCATCTTTTAACAATTCTTTGTCATGCACCTTTGCCAATTTCGCATGTGAAATAAATTTTATAAACAAATCAGGAAACCAGATGAAGCGAGTTTATTACACAATGAGCCCTGAAAGCAATGACCAAAAACAAGCCATGCTGCTGATGACTTTGAAAGCTAAAACTTATGACTTTGTTACAACTGTCGACGCAATGGCCAATTTTTTGAAGTCATTTGGAAATCCAAACAAACACAGTGCTGATTTGGCAATGTCCTTGCAGATGTTAAAATCTGAAAGTGGTCAGCATAGTGAATACGACATTTCACTTACAACAGATGGTATAACCGAAGGTGATAAACGTACGGATGTTGCATCCCCTTTGCCTCTACTCAATTCAAAACTTAACAACAAAAGAGGTCAAGGACGTGTTGAAGGTGTCGCTTCCAAAAACTGTACACAAAAAGATGTTTTGGATTCGCTTCTAGAAATACGAAACTCAGCCCAATCTATGATTGCTATTGGAAACAGCGTAGAAAATCTGTTGAATAAAGTGCTTCAAAACAGTTTGAGCCAATCTGATTGGAGAGATACCAATGCTACTTTAAGCAATGTGCTGCCTCTAACATCAAGCTCTGACAAAACAAACGAAGTTGATTTAGAAGAAAACAGTAATTTTATGTTTATAAATAAGGTAATATGCATAATTTCTACAACGTACAGTATAGTCATAAGGTAAACTAGGTAGTAAATTATTCTTTCAGATGTAACAAAAAGTATATTTTCCCAAAAATAAACACGTAACATAAATCTAGATTGCATAATGAAAACAAAAGTAAGGTTATATCATTTTTTATATTGCTTTTTTGCGTTACGAAAAGAACGACAATTACCCATTTACATTTTCACAATTAGGGAAATATATTTAAATTATGTTTTCTCTATAAACCACATATTTACACTAAAATTTAATACAGTAAAATTACATATGTTTTCATGAAGCTAGTAGATTGTAGCACTATAAGTTGAAAAAAGCACGAACTTAAATAATAATGTGGCGTTCAGAATACTTACAATAATTCAAATACGCCCTACATAATTAATTTAATATAATTCGTTTGAAATATATAACTGGTGCCACGCAAAAGATAAATGTTTTACATTATATGTTTTACACCTCTTTACAATTTTAAAGTGTGTGATCAAGAATGATACTAATCTACCAGACCGCGACGTAGTGAAGTTGGATGACCATAAAGAAACCTTATGTGATACCAAGACTGACGGTGGCGGATGGATTGTCATACAGGTATATTTCTTCCAATGTATTAATCATGAATAATTTCAGGTATAGAATATATAAATTTAAAATATTTTTAAAACTTAAACTTTAAGAATGTATAAAATGTAAATCTGTAGAAAAAAATCTGAATAAGGTAAGCTTAATGCCAGTTTCAATTCAAATAAAAGCTGATTAATTCAATTTCGTAATTATTTAATAATTATTCAACAAACTAAGTTCTTTATAGTGTGATACGAAATGCTGTTGAATGTGTTAAATTGTGCTTAAAGATTGTTATAAACCTACGTTTTTCAGAGAAGATTTAAAGGCGACGTTAATTTTACAAGAAATTGGAGAGAGTATAAAGAAGGATTTGGTACAACATTAGGTGATTACTGGTTAGGAAATGACTGGATTTCAAACTTAACACATATGGTACGGTTTTTTAATTTTGCTTTGTTTGTCTTTTTTATATAAACATAATGAAATTTAGCAATAAATTCTTGAACATATAATATATCTAGAAGAAAAAGCAAAATTTGTATAATTTTCCACATTTGTATTATATATATATATATTTATAAATATGTATTATTATATTATATTTTATATATATATATATATATATATATATATATATATATATATATATATATATTTGCACCTACTCGTGTTCTATAATAGGGCTACAACCGGCTGCGTGTTGATATGACGTTTCACGGTAGAAACTATTCTTCTGAATATGTCGATTTCACACTTGGAAATGAAGCTGCGTCTTACTTGATACATTTTAAGACGTTGAGGGATTCAACCAACACGTTCATTCGTCACAGTGGCTACAAGTTTACGACAATAGACAGAGACAATGATGTATATGATGGCAACTGTGCTCTTAGATACAAGGGTGGCTGGTGGTACGATGCTTGTCACAGTGTTAATATCAATGGGGTTTGGGGTCATCTCGATTACGGTATGGGTCTGAACTGGGTTGGTATTACCGGCTATTACGACACGTTGAGTTTTGTCGAGATGAAAATAAGAAAAGGGTGAGAAATTGTACATTTCAGAAAAATATAATGAAAACATCTGTCGTATAGAAACCGTTTTCTTTATAAAAGTTTTTAAGTTATATACAAGAATAAAATGAGTGCTTATTTATAAAGGTTAAAAAATTCAAACAATGATTGTTAATTAATTTTGCTAACAAATATTTTAAAATTTCAAAGATTTATAAATTTTTTATTATCCTCTGTGAAATTGAAAATCATTGCATCATATAAACTTTTTATACAAGTCTACTAAAATGATAAATAATAATTATTTTTTAAAAAAATAATAGTAAACT